GATGACAAAGGACGATCATACAACTTACACCCTTGAAGAAGGACAATCTTAACTCAATAAATTCTAAGCGTCCAAAGAGACAAACCCATTCTCATTCAGCTGCTCTTACAATCATGGCTTTTTCTTCTTCTTCAATTAAGCTTATTGCCACATTCTTGGCCCTGAGTGCTGCTCTCTTTCTCAATCCTGCCTTGGGACAGGGCAACCAAACTTGTGGAAATGATTCCACTTCTTACTGCTGCTCGAATTTCCCTGCTGCACCTCCTGGTACACTTGTGACTGTCAATGCTGCAAATTGTGCGGTAAATGTGGGTAGCAAGTGCGGAGGGACTCCTGCTTGCTGCCAGCAGACAGACTCCACCAACGTTCTGGCATGCACCACCATCTAATCTCCTAGAAACATAAAAAAACAAATTAAAATATTATGTAATTATACAACCACCCACTTTAATTTACCCTGATTATTTTCAATGAACTCATCAAGATTTATAGTTGACCACTCTTCTTTCTTCTTAAAATTCTCACAGTATGCTCCAAGTCCTGTTGTTGGTTTTGGGTCAGTAGTACTACTACTTTTGTTTTACATTTGATAAAATGATATCCATTACTATTAGCCTGAAGAGTCTACATCTAGAAAAAATAACCAACCCCATTACCATTTGAGATATGATCATTTAAAATTATGAAACTTGATTTTTTGCTAGGAGGACAATCTGCTCATAATTCTGCTTTATACCACAGCCTTACATTTTTACATGATGCAGAGAATTGTCCACCCTTCACCATAAAAACAAAAGGAAAAGAAAAATTAGAAGATTGCACAACACAAATCATACCAGACAGACCTCAAATAAAAATAATGTAAAGATATACAATTAAGAAGCAAAGAACACCCTTCATTTCATAAAATAACCTTAATATAATATAGCACATTATTTGCACAGCATCTATCTTGTGGAGAAATTACTAGAATTTAAAGTTAAATATATTATGATGGTTTGCTTGATACTTTTTGGATATGCTTTAATATAAATAATAATAATTAATATACCTTTTAAAGTTATGGTCTTAAAAGTATAATAGATCTTGCAAACTCTAAAGGATACAGCAGCATGACAATCAATTAGTGATAAATCTTGTTGGGTAAGTACTTTTATAATTTTTGTGGTAAAATACATAACTCTCTCTAACAGCAAATGTATATGCCTATTTTATAATAGTTGAAGGTCCTTTTGACTATATTGTGATAAGTGATATCTAATTCAATAGTGCTTTAAATAGATTCTCATATTAGTGAGAAATTTTCTTGACTACTTATTCATTGTTATATTTTTTGAAGGCTATTGTAAACTTTTTACATATATCTTAAAACCTTTAATTGTCATAAATAAAATTATGGGTATCAAAAACTTTTTGTTAACAAGTCATTCCAAATATTCTTCTTTAGGCAGGGGATTGGTAATGTTAAACCCTTTATTAATCCCTTTTGTATTAGTGGAGTTAACTGGCAATTCAAGTGTATTTAAACTGGACGAGTATATAGATAGAATTTTTTTGTGTTATTACGTAAATAAACATAACCTAATAAAGAATTTCTATTTTGTTATATCTTTCATTAGTTAATGATAAAAACTCTTGTATATTGAGCTTTAGTACTTTAATATCACTACATAATAACTTACTATATCTACTAAGAGACTCTTGCTATATGCTAATCTTTTTTTAATCCTATTAACTATTTATAGAAAGTGTCTAGATCTACTAATAAGGCATATTTATGGAATGTAGAGATTGTTTTGAACATGATGATATTATTTTTAGATTCACAATCTAACACCATTCTATATTTAACAAATTTTCATAATTATCCTGGAGACTAGCTCTTAGAATTGGGGTTAAAGTATGCTTTCATATAAGGGGGTAAATTAGGTTTAGAAATATTGTTTAGCTTCTTGTTAGGGATGTTTATATTTGTTCTATATTCCGCTTAGGTATAAACCTAACCTCCATACCATATTAGTTGGTGGAATATTTATATATTTACATTAGGTATGTTGAAATAGCATTAAATTATATTTAACTTTGGTTTATATATTAGTGGGATGTTAGATGCTTTAGAATTATATTATTGTCACTTCATGCTCCTATATTTTTACTTCTTGGTTGTATTCTTGGGAGTTGTTTTTTCTCAAATAAAACCCATCTATTAACTTTGATATCATATAAAATGCAAATTATTTTTTCACATAAAAAATAGAGGATAAATTCAGTTATCCTTTTTTCATTTTTTGTCATAACCACATTTTTTTCTTCTTGGAATTTTGACAATATGTTTTAAAATTTCTATTGATTTTGGGTCAAAAAGAGAAAGTGCTAATTACTTGTTTTTTTACAGATATAATAATTTAAATTAATATAGCTTAGTTCTTTGTTAAAAGGATAATCAACTTATTATACTTGCATTGTTATTAGATATAGAGCTAAGCTTTTGAAGAATTAGAATTTTACAAAAATAACTAAATATAAAAATATATTTAAAACATAATTAAAAAGTACTTTTTAGTTCATCTTTTCTCCTATAGTTGACAAAAGAAGAATTATATTAATAAAATAACTAAAAGTAAATTTAAGTTAAAAAATTCACAAAATATTTACTATTAATTTACTTCGTTCAATCATCTATTCATAAAAAGTTTTATCTAACCATATTGAAAAGTTTTTAACTGTAAATTTTTCTATGTAATCAAAGTATAAAAGTGCCATTTAATTTCATATATAAAATGTAAAATTCTAGAAAAACTAAATTGAAATCCCTTAAAACTAAATTTCACAATGAATTTTTTTAAAATATATTTAGTTTTGTTTTTATAATTAAACATGTAAAACTTAGTTTTCCTAACATTAATAGATACAAAATTAGTTTCATTCTAGTGGGAAGATAAATTAAATATAAAGATAAAAAAAGTAAGTGTAAGAGTATTATATGTTCCTTATAGTTTACACATTTTAAAAATGATTGTAGATTTTCTAGAATAATTTAACAAATTTATATTAAAGAATAATAGTTTTATATATATATAAAATATAATATATGCTACCAATATTTATTTTTCTTAATAAATTTATTATTGAAAATTATTTTTAAAAACTTTATAAATAAATAAATTAGTTAATATATATATATATAGCAAAGAAAATTGTCCTATAGGTCATTTTATAAGTAATTTTCCTTGTAACTCTTTTAATTTATACTTTTTTAATAATTATTTTATATTAATTATATTATAAATGAGGATATGTTTAGGTTTATAAATTTTATTTCATATTTGGTTGTTATAGATGGAATTTATGGGGTTTCTAATGACACATAGCATCCTCAAAAATTAAAACAGGTCAAGAATGAGACATCATATTATGTTATTGAACGACTATTTTGTAATAAAAATTTCAATTTTTTTTAAAAATATTTTAATTACTATATATTTATTTATGAATATTGTGTAACAACTCACTTTGTTGCCAACAATGTTATTCTCACATACACAATCATAATATAAATAGTCTATTATGAAACAACCTAATTTAATTACCTTGTCATTTTCAATAAAGTCATCAAAGATATTCTTCTAGAGTCCACATGGTTGAAAAAAGAAATTAAGGTAGTGATCGTTGGACACAAGACTCTTGATCCATCATGGCAAAATGGGATCTTGGATCCTTCAAGCCTTGCTGGGTTGAAGGCAGTGATGTTGAAATACTACCACTAAGAAGGTGAGGGAGGATGTGGATAATGGTCCTATCGCATGAGTGACTGGAGGATGATAATCCAAAATTTGATATGACTGAGAGAAAGATGAAAAACGCAAATGCTTACTTGAAATTGAATAGTTATTGGTTTCAAGAAGTTCTTCTATTTTTTCTTGTTTTGAATCACATTGTCAAGCAGAAAAGGTTGAGCTTGGATCACGACATGCTCATGGTTGACATTCCCAATCTCGCAACTTCATCGTCATTGGGAAAGATCCCTATGAGCCTGCCTTTGGAATAGATGTAAGCCACCATGTATCTTGCCTGGAAGGCTAAACACCCCTAAGATCTATGGCTAGTGAGTAGGAGAATGTTGG